TTGCTCACGCCCCCCATTGCCCCGAAAAAGGTGCATTCTGTATAAACAAAAGTAGGTAGGCGGCATTTTGCTGCACTCCCTGATTTTGTTTTTATACTGCCAATGCTGAAAAAACACTGATTGGGCTTTCCTGCAAATTTGCACAATTCCTGTTTAAAAAGGGCTTTTGATTAATCCTCACTTCGTCTGCTCCCCACTCTACTCCGCAACCCAAAATTCCTCCTTTTTTACTTCACGTTCTTCTCTATCGTCGTCTCTTTCTTTGTCTCTTTGCTCCTTCTCTCTTTCCCTTTAACATTTTTTATTATTTCCCCCTTTCCTGTCCCCCAATCTCCCCTCAGTCCCAACTCTGATCCCCACCTCCTCATCTTCCCTCTGCTTCTCTTGCTTTCTCGTCGTTCCCCCCGTCATCTGTTTCTCCCCAATCTTTCTATACCTCCCCCTCTCTCCTCTCCTCCTCCCCCTCAGTTTCCTGTCCCACTTGGCTGCAGGTCAACTGCAGGATCCCGTCTCATGTTCACTTCACAACTTTCCTCCCTCGCAGAAAGCGACAAAAAAAAAATTCTCAGAATCCAATAAAATTATTCCACTTATTTGTAATTTCACTTATTTCAGCAATTTCTCACAAAGCTCCTGAAAAGACGCAGAAAGGAGACGAAGAAAAAGACTTCAAAAATAAGGATGAATGAAAAGAGTTGGAGCAGCTGCAGTGATCTCAGCCTGCTGGCAGCACCCAGGAACTTTATGAGGAATCATTCTTTAAAAAATTCATAGAAAAATGAGTTTATAAGTCAGTGACAGAGAGGAGCTGTTTTCACTCTTTGCCTCTTTCTGTGAGTTGTTATTGTTCTCAAACACACACACACACACACACACACACACACACACACACACAGGCCTATTATGGTAGTTGGTTCAGATTCCCAGTGAGCGTGACATCATGTAGCCTCAATCAAAACCAGACTTCAGCAAAACCTCAAATACAGAGAGCAGCAGGAATGAAGGCTTACATTACAGGACAACACACACACACACACACCTATCATCTATCAGACCCTCCTTTCCACCAGGAGAGAGGAATTCTGGGATTGTTGAAGTTAGAGGTTAAAAACGACAGCATGCATTCTGAAATCACACGCTTTCTAAGGCGCCACGTTTTTAACATAATGCGACTAGAATCTACGTTATTGACGGCAGCACGACAACGCTGGTCATGTGACTTTGACAGTGACCTCCGAGAGAAAGAGAGTCAGGAGGGATTAACCAGCAAAGAAGAAAAATGTGGTGATGAGAGAACAGTTCGTCCTCTGTGGAAGGTCAGAGAAGAAGAAACTGACAGACAGCTGATAACTGTGATGACAGCCGAGCCACGAGTGTGTGTGTGTGTGTGTGTCTGTGTGTGTGTGTGTGTGTGTGTGTGTATAAGTGAGTGTGTGTGACATGGCAGAGGATGAAAGCAGCAGTAAATTCTCTCTTTTACTTCAAAAGGATGTTTGACACTCCAATCTGACAGATGGAGGCACAACACACACACACACACACACACACACTGCCTGGCTGACTCCTGGTGCACCTGGACCAATGATGGATGAGACACACTCACAATCAAACAACCAAGTCAGTAAATCCTCACAAAATTTCATTCAAAACTCACTTTAAAAAGCTCATTTTTTACTCCACAGAGAGTTTGATCCAACACTGGCTGATTTTCCCACAGTGCAACAGGAGGAACAGCAGTAAAGTTGGAAACAGTGTCTCTGTTGACGTGAATAAATGCTGATGTCAATCCAAACTGTTTTTTACGACTGAGCCAAGAAGTTTAGCTCCTTTTCATACTGAAAGCAGCGCTCAGTGAGTCTCTCTTTAAGTTTCGTGGTCCTGAAGAAGCTGAATTCACTTTCACTAACATGGTTTAATTGAACTTCCTGTGAGCTATCAACAGAGGTAAGAGTCTGCAGCCATTGATGAAAGCAGCAGCACTCACGCCCAGAGCAATCACCAAAAAACATGTTGGCCTTTGTATGTCTCACTTGGAAGTCGTCAAAATCCGGCACGTCGTCAGTGAAGTCCTGACGTTAGACACCGATGAAAAAGCCGTCCTTTCATGTCAACATGATTCGTGGCCACTCGCAGTTTGTTTAACAGTGCCCCACGGCATCAAGGGGAAATGTGGACGGACGACAAGGAAAGTTAAGGCGGCAGTAGTCTGAGAAGAGCAGGAGGGAGGGGTGGTGGATGGGTCAACCACCATCTTTCACCTGGGAGGCTGGTGTTCGCCTCGTGTGAGATTGTAAAGCCAAACCCTGTTCTTTTTTCCTAAACCCAACCACGCGTGTGTTGTTGAAGGAAAAACTAACATCAATTCACGGTGATGTACCGACATAGTGCTTTTATTTTGAAAGAGACTGTATGCAAACTGTGGATGTGGAAAGTCCATGACCAAACGTGGACATGTGACGAGGTCACAGTGAGAATGTGTTGGACACAGATATGTTACATTAGTATGATATTATAAAGCGCTTACATTTCAACATCTCTGCGGTTGACGTGTGGTCATGTTTAGGCACAAAAACCACTTGGTCAGAATTTGGAAAAGATCATGTTTCAGCTTAAAACACCCTGTTTTGGTAGCGCTGTCCTGGCTGCTAATGTGGCGACCTCTCGGTAAGAAACAACTGCTTTTTGTGACATGAGCCTGCAGGAAACACAGTGAAGTCCCCCTGGAGAGAATAACAGCTGGTGGCATCATGCTGACGTTTCGTGCCAATGTGACACGAATCAGGAAAGTGACGTTTCAGCAAAAAGACAAACAGAGGGAGAGGAGGACGATGAAGATGAAGACCAGCAGAACAACTGAACAAATCAAATGTGGAATTTATTTATTTACTGAGCCAAAAATTTCTAATAAAGTTTCCTGAAAACCTGAGACAGCTCTGAACATGTTTGTCCATCTATGGTGCAATAGTGGGCGGAGGTCTGTGTGTGTGTGTGTGTGTGTGTGTGTGTGTGTGTGTGTGTGTGTGTGTGGAGGCCAGCTGCAGGTAAACTGGCCCAAAGGCATTCACACCTGGACAGTAAATCTAGGCTTCAGCCAACTCCTCCCAAACACACACACGCACACGCACGCACGCGCACACACACACACACACACACACACACACACAGCTGTGTACTGTACCACAACCTCTCCGTCATGTTTCCATTTATTTGTCTCCTACATTAAACCACAGCAGCTGACAGATACTTTTCGTAATTAGACCAGCACTTTAAAATATAAAGTAATGGTGCTGCACTCAGCGGTTTGGTCTGCCGGCTGCAGCTGAAGATGATTTGGTAACAACCTGAACTTGTACTGTAAGTCACTTCCTCCTGATAACCTCATGTCAGTAACTAGTGTTACAGATGTTCCTGAGAACTGAGAGGGAAGTTCTGTCAGTGATGGTGAAACATCACTTCTGACGCAGTCTCATTCAGAGAGCGTGACTGTTCACATTAGTCAGTCCAAAATGCAGCTCCATGGCTGCAGAGAGTGCACAGATAAGACGGAGGATAACGAGGGTAAACTGTGTGATAAAAGCAGCGTGTCAGGGTTTGTCAGTTTCAGCAGCAGTGGTGCAAGATGCCCTCAGATCTTTTATTTCAATAAAAGTAACATAAACAGTGAAAGTCCTGCATCTGCTTGACTCAAAATACAAATATATAATCAGTGACATGTAGTTAAAGCTACAGTTTGTAACTTTTATAAAAAAAAACTTGTCAAAATTGTCACAGTATTCACACAGCACTTAATGAGACATATCATCTCTGACACTAGAATTACCACCCTGTGGTTGTATGACTCCGCCCACCAGTCCACCCTGTGGTTGTATGACTCCGCCCACCAGTCCACCCTGTGGTTGTATGACTCCGCCCACCAGTCCAGTGTCTCTGACAGTCTCCATCCATGTCAGTGAAAACATGGATGCTTCACACACAGAAGATCTATACAATCAGCACAGTTTCAAGGTGGACACCAATGATGAGTGTCACCATTTTAGTTTTTGATATGTTCCCGAGCGCCGAGTTCAACTTTTTGAATGCAGCAGCACACACCACATGTCATGTGACGAGGAACAACCAATCACAGCTGACAGATACCTTTCCCTTCTTCCGTAAATGTCAGTCTGTGATAAATATGGAGAAATGTATCATTGACATGGATTATCATGGACGATATCTTTCAACTAATACACACTTACAAAACAGCTCCTAGAAGAAGATCAGCTCTGCACTCAGGATTTCTGGTAAGTAATCTATGATATGGTGCTGGTTATGGTTGCTTAGCAGCCTCAGTTGCAACCTGCCTCCATGCCCCTGATAGTTGGCACAAGAGTAGCGCCCAACCTTGCGTCTTCCAGGCAGTTAAAGACGTGGCATGTGTACGGCCCCTCACTGTTCTGCATTTTACAAAAATGAGATAGATGCAAGGTCACATTGACCTTGACCTTCGACCACCGAAATCCAAGCACTTCATTTTAAAGTCCAACTGGACATTTTTGCCAAATTTGTGTACAAGGCTGTTGCCACAGTGGCCCAGGTTCGACTCCAGCCTCTGGCCCTTTGCTGCATGTCACTCCCTCTCTCTCCCCATTTCACACCTGACTGTCCCATCAATTAAAGGCAAAAATGCCCCAAAACATATCTTAAAAAAAAAATAAAAAAAAATAATCACATTTACAAAAATGAGATAGATCAAGGTCACAGTGACCTTGATCTATGACCACCAAAAACTAAACAATTAATCCTCAAAGTCCAAGTGAATGTTATTGCCAAATTTGAAGAAATTCCCTTGAGGCATTCCTGACATGTTCACAAGGATGAGACAGACATCTGCACGGACAGACATCCCTAAACATAACACTTTCAGCTTTGGCTATCACCGGCGCGGAGCCGCAAAACTCTTGACATCATTAATACTTAGTGATCATTTATAACTGCTGAGCTGCAGCTGTGGTTCTTACCTCCACGATGCTCTTCAGATCTCTGACGTAGGCTTGTTCGGTCTCTACGATCTCCAGAACAACTCGCTCCAGCCGCGAAAGCTGTCTGGGCGTGGCCACGGCTGCCACCATCTTGGCTACATCTCCATTCGGGGGGTGACCTCCACCTGTCACCTTGGCAACACAGATGCCGCCTCCTCCTGCAGGGACTCCTCCTCCATGTGGCGTGACGAGGGGTGTGAGGTCCAGGCTGATGTCGGAGCCGTTCCTCTTTGGCGTGGAGGACGACGAGGACGATGAAGAGGCGTTGTAGGTCGGCACGGCGCCGTATGGCAGAGAGGAAGAGGAGGAGGAGGAAGAGGAGGAGTGGGAGGTGTCCTGCAGGGAGACGGATGAAGCAGAGGAGGAGAGGGAGAGGGAGGCGGGCCGCTCGCTGTCCGAGCAGACAGTGTTGACGGAGGTGCAGGACGAGGACGAGGCTCCTCGATCGCCGGACGACATCATCCTACCCACAATCCCACTCAGAGACGAGACTGAGGAGGGACGCTTGGCGGCTGCAGAGACACAAACAGGAAGAGAAAGAAGGCACTATTAAAGATCTACAAAAACCAATTAGAAACTTAAAATGGAGGATCAGTCACATGATCTCGTTAAAATCAAGACGCAACTTTATCAAACTGTCCCAGCAAAGACAAGACTAAACAAAATGACTAATATAAGGATGATCACATTAAACACGACCCGATCGCCAGAATAAACGTTAGCATTGGATGTGTCTGCAAACCACAGATACATTACATTGAATATACAGGACATTATTTTGTGGACAGACATACTGAAGCTTTACGTTCAGTTGGGTTTAGGCACAAAAACCACTTGGTTGTAGTTATGAAGAAGTCACCTTTTGCCTTAAAATACCCATTTTTGACAACAATATCTCAGCAGGAAACACAGTGATGTCTTGGTTAAAAACAAATGCTTTTTGTGGCACTATCTCAGCAGGAGACGAAGCAATATCTCGATAAAAACAAACACTTTTCGTCCCACTATTCAGGCAATGATGTCTTAATAAAAACATCTGCTTTTCCTGACACTATACACGCTGGAAACAGGGTGACAGGCTGCTACCAAACATCCACACGTGGTGCCTCAAAAGCTGCTGGAAACACAGGGATGACTCTGCAAAGAACAATCTCTTTTTGCAGCACTATCCTGCTGAAAACACAGCGACAGGTCACCACAAAACATCCACATTGAGTGCCTAAAAACCCACTGGAAAAAAAGTGATGGGGTGCTAAAAAGACACACGTTTAGTGGCTAAAATGCCGCCGGAAACCCAACGATGATGTTGCTGTTGCTGTTGCTGTTTGTTGGTCTCAAACAGCAGTCTGCAGCTTGGCAGCCATCTTTCCATCTCAAGATGACAAAGTCAGCTCATACTTGATTTGATACGTATGAAAAGTGAAAATGTATTGTATTTGTGGTTTGCAGAAATGCCATCATTTGTTTCTGGTGGCTGGGCCGCTTAAGAAAGACCTGAAGCTCAGACACTTCATGAAAAGGAGAAGTTCAAATGTTTTGGTTGTATTCTATCATGAACGACCTTCACATAACATCCAAATATTTACAAAACAAAAAAGATTAAAACAAAAAACAAATTTAGTTAAATATGAAACACGAACAAACTTTAAACAGCCTGAAACACAAACAATGTGTTCTAAATAATTGGTGGCATGACACATATGTTAATGTTGTTTATTGTGCCCTGCTTTAAATCGTGATAACAGCAAACACAGTGGTGTTTCCAACAGAATACAGACCATCATGAAACTTATAACATGCTGACACTGACTTACAGTAAATAATGCTCATGAGACAACGCATACATCTTCTGTCATCACAGATTTACAGTTCAGTACAGCACAAACATAAAGAGCAAATATATTCCTGTGTTCATGGACAGATTACTGAACAGACCCCCCGCACACAGGGGCCCAGAGTGTCAGGAGACCCCCTCAGCTTCACTTAAATGTCAACCAGGACTAGAATAAACTAGAATTACCACCTCACAGTTGTTTGCCTCTGCGGATCCATCAAGTTTCTCCTACAGTCTCCATCCATGTCAGTGAAAACATGGATGCTTCACACACAGAAGATCTATACAATCAGCACAGTTTCAAGATTAGAGTCACCAATTCAGTATCTGACCAAATGACGCTGAGTCATGACCACAAGTGTTTCTTCTTCTTCTTCTTGAGATATCACGTTCACAAGAATGGGATGGATGCCAGGTCACTGTGACCTTGACCTTTGACCTTCAACTACCAAATTCGAACCAAAGTGGACGTCTGTGTCAAATTTGAGAAAATTCCCTCAAGGTGTTCTTGAGATGTCGCTTTCACAAGAATGAGATGGAAAAACATATCACCTCCAGCCGAGGCTATCGCCGGCACAGAGGCGTAAAAAAGACACAAAATGACTTCAAAGAGACGCAAACCAACAAAAAAGACACAACACCACAATAAACTCTGTGTCTTGCTTCTGTGTTGACGAGATGGTGGCACCCTTTGCATATCTATGCCCAGGGGCCCACTGACTCGTGCCCATGTCTGTTTTGATCACCCCAACAGAACGGCCTTTTCATGAATCATCATGATGTGACAGTCACAAAAAGAACATTATGAAGTATAATTAGAGGAAATTCTGGTCTCAATTCAAAGTGAAAGAATGTTATTCTCATTTTTTGCTTCGACCACAGCCACGTACACAACTAAAAACAAGAACTGACAGTCCTCATCCTCACAGGTTAACATGCTAACTGCTACAAGAAACAATCGACTCATCAACTGATCAATCAATCCAAATGTGTCCAGTAGATTTCTTTCTAGCAGTTGATGCAGACTGACACTCTGATGTCTCAGACTTGTTTTTTTCCACCTTTAAATGAAGACAGGTGGAGAGTGTTACCTTATTTGCTCTAAGCAGCAGCCAACCTGCCAGTCAAACTGTGTTCAGCTCTGTATTTGTGTCCAGTCTGTCAGATGTATGTTCACATCATTAAATTTCAGCAGAGTTGGAGTGTATGTGTGCAGCTGTCTTCCTCAGTATAAACAGGAAGTGTGTGCAGCAGAGCATCAGATCACCACTGACTGACTCTATTAACTTTCTCTTTTTGTCCACATTGCAGTAAATAAAATGATCATTTTTATAGTAAATGTCACCTCTGAGGCATTTTTTGATGCTTTGTTTCTGAAACTCTCTGAAACATAAAATGATAACTTCCCTCTTTGAAATGATCGTGCATTAATTTCATGTTCCCCTTTAGTGTGGTTTAAATGTTCACATGCAAATTGTGTCTGCTGTCACAAAGCTGCAGCTGATTCTGTCGTCATGTAAAGGAGTAGTTCACCATTTTAGGAAATGGGCTCGTTCAGCATCTTTCTGTGGGTGAGATGAGAAGACTGGGGCTGGAGTCTGGACGTGGTTAGCTTAGCTTAGAATAAAGACTGGAGGCAGTGGGAAACAGCTAGCCTGGCTCTGTCTAAACTTCAAAAGAAAATGCACCGACAGACAACTCTAAGAGCCTGATTAGACTCGCATTCATTGCTCTGTCAGGAGGATGGAACAGCTATCTGATATCCAAGCCAAAACATTCTCACTGTGACCTCATCACATGTCCACGTTTGGTCATGGACTTTCCACGTCCACATATGACGTCCAAGGTACCCTGGGTGTGTTGGTTGTTGACGTTCTGGGACGCCGTGTCAACTTCAGCCTGTTACATGTATTGTCTGTTTTCAAAATACACTTCTGTTTTCACAGGAAATGTACAGTTTGCATACAATCTCTTTCAAAATAAAAGCCCACTGCGTTTCACAATAACGGTGACTGGTTGTGCACCATGCCAGCATGAAAGGACATCTTTTTTCATCAGTGTCTTACCCTGGAAGTCACATAATAGGTTACGTTTGAAAGCAGAATCCAAGATGCAAATGTAATCCTTACTCCTCAGTTTAACTACATCAGGAGTCTGATAACAACAGCTCTTCCCTCTACCTTATTAAAGTGACAGGAAAACACACACTGAAAGTCTCGTCTTTCTCAGCGTAGTTCCTCCATGTGTTTGTAGACAGTTCAGTCGGGACCACTTTAGTCAAAGAAAACTTAAATTCCGTTTACAGTGCTATATTTGGCAGTATGGCTCTGTCCTGGGGCCTCTCTGCCTTTCCTCCAGCCTACGTGGAATGGCTAAGGCAGAGAGAGCACACCTCTCTGCCCTTCCATGTGCCTACATGAAGAGCTAAGGCAGATAGAGCAGCAGCAAAGACCCCGGGAACAGAACAGAGCAGCATCAATGACAAACAGAAATGACATTGATAAGTCAGACACAGCATGAAAAGGAGGAGCTGGGGTGGAGGCAGGTTGCAAAGCAGCTTGCAGAGGAAGCAGCAACAGTATGCAGGCCAGAGCAGTTTAAACAGGGCGCCCTGAATGAGATTTGCCAATTGGTTGCATAGAAAGGAATCATGTGATCTATCAGCTGACTCTCTTCCATCATTCAGTTGTTCCATCAGTTGATTGGACTGTTTGAGATCAGCTGATGTAGCTGGGATGTGAGCTGAGCTTGACATCATGTCCAGTCTGAACTAACACTATGCTTAATTTGTTAGCTTGTTGCTTAACCATTTCAGTTGTAGCTAAACTGCTAAAGTGCAGAAGTTCTTCTTGTTCTGGTGTTTGTTTCTCAGTCACAACACAGCACACATACACCTCAAGTGTATAATTTCATCTTCATCAGGATATGAGACCTTTTAAATGTGAAGTGTAATTGCAGCCAAGAGCTCATTAATTAACACAGAGTGTTACCTGATGGAAACATTTCTCTGTTCTGGTCTCTGTGCAGCGATGATGGTACCAAACCTGCCCACCTCACTGTGACTGTGCCCACGTCTTTAAGCACCATTAAAATACTTTTGATTGACAGTTTCCCTCATTTTTCTCCCCTCATAAAACACATTGCCTCATATTTAAAAATGTAATTATATCTTTTCCCTTCGTCTCAACTTCATGAGACCCTGTAATCATTTCATTTCCACTTTCCCTCCAGACGGCAGCACACCTGTCCTGCCTGCTGGCACAGTGATGCTGGGATGGAGAAGCATTTAAACTTCATTAGCGTTTAAATTCCAGACGTCCTGGCAGGAGGAATTTCCGAACACAGAGTGTTAAATGAGAACATTTTCCTATATGGATCCTTTTTTTTTTTTTTTTAAGGTGATATTCCTGCAGGTTCTTACAGGAATGTCTTTAACAGCTGCCAACAGTGTTGTAAAGTAGCGAACCTCCTCGTTCATGTGGTGACTGTGGTACACACTCATACCTGTGGTTTAAAGAGTTGTTGTTCTTTGTTCCACATGAAGAGGTAATGTTTCATCTGGAAAACCACCAACATATTTTATAAAAACGTGTCGGACCTCACTGAAAGATCGAACCTGACAACCCTCAATTGTTTTATTCAGTGGTGGGAGAAGTATTCAGACACTTTACTGCAGTT